CATGCGTTTTCCAAAAGAAATCTCAATTTAGATATTGTGAAGTCGATAAATTTTCTCACTGATAATGAATTCATATCCAAAGAATTCTGAAAATTCAAGTGATTCAGATCAGCCATTGATCATTAGACTGCCAACCTGTTCAGGGATATTTCCAGTTTTTGCTCCACTTTCAGCGCAGTTAAATTGATCGTCAGGCAGTTCGGAACGTTGGCCCATCCCATGAGATACACCGAAAACTCGTTCGTTGAACTCCAAAAGTATGTCTGAAAATTCGGAGACATTTTAAGATCATTTCAGGAGGATTCTAAGAAAATTTTGGAACTCTTCTCGAATCAGAAAAGCTGATGACTGAAAATTCCGGTCAAAACTCATGACTCAATTGTTTGAAGGGATCATATGGATGACTTTAAGTCTTTCGAGATGTCCTAGGTTATTAGGGCGTCAGAATCAGCAGATTCAAGAACAATTCAATCAACGATATCGTCTCGGAGAATTCTCATTCTTTTCTCTAACGAGCATTGGAGTGGGCAAAACTGTTTTTCTGGCTGTCTNTGAAAATGTCATGCAGTTTATATGGGCTCCAGAGATCAGCCATTAGTCAAAATCGTTTATAAGACGCTTTCAGAATGCATAATCTCTTGGGATAACAACGGAGGTCTCATAAGTGTTAAGATACCTACTTGGTACAGTCACCAGACCGTCAATAGTCGCATCTCCACCAATCGGAAATGAAGCACCTCGAAATTCTATGTCCGTTCCGGGCCATAAACCTTTCCCAGTCTGAAATGATGGTCGTCGCATCGAAGTTTTCATTAGCTCTGGTAATAAGCGATCTCCAAAGAAAGCAATTTTCAAAAAATGATAAAATTGCAAGATTTGATCATAAATTGATCGTGAAGTTAGGCGTTTGAGTGCACTCAAGTCAAATGAACTGCAAATGTTTCCGTTTAGAATAATCTCATGAAACGAATCGAATGAGAACAAACAGCTAGCGAATCGCCGAGTGCGCCAATAATATCAATATCCTCTGGGGAGAGATCGGCTGTAGAATCACCAGTGTGAAGAGTGGGATGAGCGCGAGGACATGAGAAAGTGCGTCGATTCACGAAAGAATTCTCGATTTGCGATGGCACCACATCCAGGTCCTTATTTGATGCTGATAATGTTACTGACTTGAGACGATCCTCTTCAATGTTATCTGCGTCTTGTTCTCCTTCATCTTCATCTTCTTGTGAAGAAGAACTGAAAATTGCACAGATTTAGGGTGATTATGAGGAATTATTGTGAATCTAAGAGATTTTCAGCGATAGCGAGCGATTTAAAGATTATGCTCCTCGAGAAAATCTCCATTTTGAAGGGTTATCCGAATGTATCCATGTGTAATCTCATGTGATCAATGCGAACATAATTAAGCTGCTTGCATGCTTATGCTGTTTCCCTATTCAAAAACACCCTTTGGCAAAAAATTGATTAACGATAGCTTTTAGCGATAAACAATTTAACGATGTTATTTTCAACGAGCCAATGGTTTTGTCGATACTTTTTCTCTGATGATTCATTTAAAGATACGTTTTAGATATAACTGAACAACCCACATATTTATAGTTATAATGGCTTCGATCATTCGATCTTATTCAATCAATGTGTAGTATATTTATCCTAGATCAAGATACATACATGAAGTTAAGGCGTTCGAAAATGATACTGATATCGAGTTGATATCGGTTCAAGTTTATGAATAATTCGAAACGAATCTGGTGGTAGCAACTCACTAAATTTTACTTACTCCTCATGTGCAAGTGCTCTGTTGTGTTGAGTGATCGTTGAGGAATGTTTTGTGCGGTTCAAATTCGACAGCCCTTCGTCAAAGTCTGGCCAAGCGCGAAACTGAAAACTTCATGCTAACGTATGATAAATGTCAAATCATTCAACTGAAACCGAGGTCTCTAAGCCTCACAGTGAACAATTCTGAATGTGAGCTGTCTGCATTGTGCACTTAATTTGTAAACGATCATAGGTCTGCAACTAACTAAATCTTGAAGAGTTCCAAGCTTTCAAGGCCTTCATATATTAAGGGAACATTAAAAGCGATCGTTAGGTTAGGAATAAATATAATGTGTTTCGCCTTGAAAATTTTCTCTCTCCATATTTCCCCAGACGTTTGTCTCATAAAAGAATTGTTCAGGTTAACACAATTGGAGTCCTTGAGATGAAACGAACAAAATTGAGAATTTGCGCATTATTGCAGTTTTATTTGGAAATATGCGAATGTTAATCGTTGGATTTCGCAATTTGTCATATTGTTATGAGATTGTATTACGTTAAGAAATTTAACGATACACAAATGTAAAGGAAATCCATTAGGCAGACTGAATGGTCGCATGAAAAAGTTTAACATCAACGATTTTCCTGTTTTCCTACATTCTTTAAACAGCACTTTAAAAGTGCACTTAATGGGAACTTCTCAAAAGAACTGCAAAACTGGCAAGAAAACACTGAGAAACACAACTTAAGAAATTCCAATTTTCGTTTCATTTTTCTTGCTTTTTTCCTTTCATTACTGCTTCTTCCTGGCTTCGCTATTATTATTTCTCATTCTGATGCTTGATGCAATGTTCTGTCCGATTCAATATTTTCTGTTTTGATTTCAATATTCAATATTTATATTTCAATATTCAATATTTATGATTTTATGCATAGTTACTGAATATTTCGGTACGTTATGCAGCAAAGAGAGCACAGATTTTAAAGGGTCCATATGCATCTGTTTCCCAGACACCCAGTAACTTTCACTAATCATATTCCAATATCGACAAATCATCTTGTTCTTACTGCGAATCCACAGGTCGCAACAATTGAAGGAAACTTTTCCTTCATACTGTCTCGAAATCGATAATTTCAAGTCGAACTCAATCTGTTATATTTTCCACATCCACTAGTTTGTAGAGATTAATGTGTGATGTGATTATAGTTCATGTACGAAAATTGTGCTTCATTTATAAATATTATACAACATTACGGATATTTTGGAATATTACATATGACACTGATTATGATGTTGAACACATTAGCTGCTGACGATAGTTGTATTTAGCACTTTGCATAGCAACGGAACAAGACAGACAGCAATGAAACGAACGGACAGCTTAGTTAAGCATTAGTGGAACTGCTGAAGTTCGAAGTTACTTCATTAGGTAATACTGCTGAATGTGCTTGCTTCTTAATGGAACGTCATCGTATTCACACAACTAATGAGGCTTAAAAGCATTGCGAATTGAAAATTTTCTGTTTTTTGTGCATTTCGAAACGTCTTTCAGTTTTAAACGCCTCAAATCAGCGGAACTTCAACTCGTTAGCCGTTTAAATTTCGCACTATCCGAAACGACACAGAACGCTTTGTGTTGAGAACAAATGAAATGATATTATGATCGTCGATGAGTAAATAAGAGAGCGATTGCATTCTTGTATGTACGTATGTATATGTATAAATGTCTCACAATGCAGCACATAAATTACATTTTAACGTTCATTCTCATTGGTTTCTTTCTCTCACGACAAATCGTATATGAAAGATAAATGGAGAGATTGAATGATTTGTGAAGGAAGTTGAACAATAGCAGCATCAACAAATAAGCCATAGTGGAGCATAGCATAGCTAGCATACAACAATAGATGCCTGATTTGATGATCCCAAGTGATTTTTTTTTNTAATATGGTGGTACAATATTCTCCTGATGAGTTCAGAAATGTCACGAGGAAACTCAATGAAAACATCCAGAGAATTTTTTGATTGAATTCGTTTCTCCCATTCGTATTGTTAAAAAACTTCGATAGTCTTTTTAATCCAAAAATATGAGTGCAAATATTAGACGAGACAAGATGAACTCGTATTTCTTCTGTGAATATAAATTTAACGAGTGATTTGGAAGAATTTTTTGCAAAGCAATCGAATGAATAATGAATAGCATGTGCAGCGGATGCATTAAACAATCTCTTAAAACACATATGCCATACATCCAGTATATTGGTTGAGTAATCAACTACATGAGAACGAAAATGACGTGAACGCAACATAAATGTGGTAACATCACTGATAGGAATGATCAGTGATAAAAAAAAGATCGAGTGGGTGAGCGGAAGTCTCGATTGATTGAATGATAGTAAAGTGGTATCAGATCAACTTGATCAAATGTTTGTATCAGAAAAAAAGATGTGACGATGGAATGATACAATAGAATGTAAAAAGATGTTGGGAAAAGATTGATGAGAAAAGGAAACTAAAAGGAGCAATGAGGAAATTTTCACGAGCTAAAAAAAAGCTAAGGAAGCAATAAAACTTGACGAATGATGTTTGCCTAGGTTAACAAAGGCGGCCTCGTGCAAAATTCGAAATTTTTAAAAGTTTCTCGATAGAATAACGTTCGAAATGAAGATTTCTTCATTGATTAATGATGTCATTATTAATTAAGATCTCAATGATTTCATATGGTTTCATGCGAAGTCATTATAAGTTGAGGAATACGCTGAAGTTGATGGAAATTTCTCGGAGAATTCACTGATCACTTGAAAATGTTCGACTGTATAGGTGAGGAGAT